TATATATATATATATATATATATATATATATATGTCTGTGTGCGAGAGAGAAAGAGAAAAAGAGAGCGTGTGTGGGCGTGTAGCGGCATATCTGCTGACACAGGCAGGTGGATGCGCATGTATAATACAAATGTGCCACGAGCCCGCCTGTGCGGCAACGGCACACGACTGGTGCAGATAGCAGGGAGGTAGCCCTCCAGCACCATGAGCTCCGCCAGGAAGGCGGGCAAGACACCAATGGCCCCACGTAAGTCCTTCAACGCTCTGCAGCCCCGCACTGGACTCTCTCCTCAATCATCACCCCCCATCTTCCCCTCCCCTCCTCCCCGGCAGCCCCCTGCGGCGTTGCCGTTGCATCATGGCACTTCTCCCCTCTGCTGCTGCGTCCGTCTCTCATCTCCCTCGTTTTACTCCTCCCACCCGCCCACTGCCGTGAGGAGTTGCGGGGGCGCACGCAGGAGCCGCGCGGCCCGCCTCCCGCCACTGCCGTAGGAAGTGGCTGACAGGCACATGTGAAGCATCGCAGCCAGAACAAACAAACAAAAACGGCGGTGACGACAACACACAGAGAGAGAGACCCACACGGACATATAAAAAAGAAAAGAGAGCCGCGAGCAACAGGCATTCGCCCACCCTCCCAGCCGCACAACATACACGCAAACGCAGAACGCCGGATACAAAACAAAAAATGCAAACCCCTTAAAAAAAAAAACGGGGCATGGTGCGGAACCTCCGTGGGCATCCTCCAGCGTGCGTGTGTGCTGCGAGGCCAAAACAAACAAAGCGCAAAAAAAAAAGGCAAAAAAAAAAACAAGCAGTAAAATAAAATATGAGTTGTACACCTCCTCCAGCATCCATCAGTCAAAAATAAAAACAACAACAACAAAAAAAAAAGAACGACGACGACGACGGAGAGAGAGAGAGGGAAAGGGCTTCTTTGCACTCAACATACAAAAGAAGACGCATACATCCAAACGAGAGTGAGATAATAAGGGAAAAAAAAAGAAAGAAAATAACAAAAACAACAAAAGCAAACATATCACACCCATGCAGCAACTTCTATCGACACTTCACTGCCAGTCACGACGGGTTTGCCGTGGACGCAGTGAGGCAAACAAAAAAACAAAACAAAAAAAGCACTAGAAACGCATACATGTGAGTATGCATATATTTCCTCCTCCTACTCCTGCACACATTCCTACTTCTCTCCCTCACTCCCTACATATATATATATATATATATAAGCTATGCGCATTACCTCCGTTGTTATTTTATTTTCCGTATTTCCCTTCTTTTTTAGTGTGTGTTTTTATTTCCAAGCAACCCGGCGTTCCTCTTCCCTCCTCCCCCATTTGGCTTTTTTTATTATCTCCTGCCCACGTTGCGTGAGTGGGGTGTCTCACCAACACGCGTTCTCCCCTTCTCCCCCAGCCCACCTACACGGCGTCTCACAGAGAGGCATTGCCGAAGACACACAGAAGGGCAATGACTGACATCGTTGCCCAAGATCCACGCACGCACACGCCCTCCCCATCACGCACCCATGAGCTCCAGTGAGCATCGCCCCTCATCCCGCACCACCACACCACACCACCGCCTCCGCACTGCACTCTCCATATTATCCCATGCATATTCTTTTTGTTTTTAAATTTATTTATTTTAAAGTTTCATGTGAATAACACGTTGGGTGGTTGAGGGGGGAGAAAATAAATCTGCCACGCCTGCCATCTGGACGCCTCCTCCTCCGCTCTTCCTCCTAATTGTTTTATGCCCAGTGACATTCAAATCAACCCGTTGTGTTTCACACCCATACGCCTCTAAGCGTCCGTCACAGCCACCCCCAACAACACACGCAGAGAGAACGAAAAAGAGGGGAGTGATGCGTCCCCATCACCTTCCGCCACGCCCCCCGCAAAACTATAAAATTAAAACAAAACTAAAAAGAAAAATGGGGGAAAAAAGGCTTCCCTCCTCTGCTACTTCGTCCCACCGTTGTTCTTCCCGAACCTCAACCCGGCGCGCTATTCCCTTTTCCCTAGCGTCTCCTGCTAGCCCCACCCCGGTATACTCACACGCGCACCCGTTTTCCCCGCCAACATGCAGCCACGAAACGCGGCGCACGTGTAGACAACCCAAATATTACAAAGAACCATCACCCACCACAAGAGGAAAAGTATTTCTCCTATCGTAGCACTCACCCCCCACCCACACACACATCCCCCGAACCACAACCACAGGCCCTGTGCATATAACCATTGTTATCGTGCAAGAAACAAAAAAAAAGGAAAAAAGGAAAAGGTTTGCTCCTATCCTAACTCTATGCCTACATCTCCTTCACTTCATATATGTGTATATGTATGTATATACAATAGTAATAGAAGGTACGTGTGTGTGTGCATGCAAGCATCACTTCCCCCACCCCCTCACCCCCTCCCTCAGTCCCTCACTCCCTATTCGCTTCTCCCTCGCGTTTGGTATTTACTTTACCTTTGCTGACGTCTGCATCTCGTGCGGAGAGGTGGTGAGCACAACAACTCCGGTGACGCTCACCACACCACCAAAAACCGCCGACCAGATATCAAAACTAACAATATATATATATATATATATATATATTTGTCGTACAAAAACAAAAACAAAACGCATGTAAACTGATAAAGTACTATTCGAAATGTGAATAAAATGCATCAAAAGAAGAAGGGAAATATCACACACATGAAAATACCAAAAAAAAAAAGAGGGAAAAAACAAATGGGCCAGCAAATCAAATCAAGAATGATACTAAAAGAAAAAAACAAACAAACAAAGAACTACAAACCACAATACACTCGACTGAAATACCACATGAGACACAACCAACTGAAGAATAAGAAAAAGCTTGCAGATGATTCACATAAAGATATATATATATATATATATATATATACCATATACATATATATACACATATACGTATATATATATACGCATAGAGCTGTACCTGCATACATAGCTGTGCATACATCGGAGACGAGACACCCATCCACACACAAAAAAAAAAAGGGATGGAATGGCTGAGGTGTGAAGAAGTACACCTCAACTCGCTGTCATGCAACGGCCCGTACACTCGTAGTAGTTTGCAGTGTTGTGTTTGCTGCCCTTCTTGACGGTGATTTCAATTCTATATGCCTCGTACAACCTCTCCAGCTCTTCAGTGCACAGACGGCTACACGACGCGCCATGATGCGTCGTCTCTGGGCAGCGGGAAGCACCGCACCATGTGAGTTGGTGGAAGTGTGGACCAGAGCCCCACGTCCGGCGTCCCCTCGCAAGTGTCAAACGATTGTAGGAAGAACTTCACAAAGTTGTGGTCCTCCACCTGCGGGAAAAGAACGGGTCGAAGACGATGTATGCCGCCTTCAAGCAGCGTCATCTCCAACGCGGGCAGGGTGGCCCCAAACACCTCCTTTGAACGATTCGCGGCAAGGGCGTACACACATCGCGTCACCACCGGGTGCGCCACCTCCATGGAGAGGCCAATGGTGAGAAGGACGTTCAGCACGTAGGATTGAAGGTGTGCATCACGCTCGTCGTTCTGCTCATGTGGCGCCTGTGGCATCTCTAACGGAGCCTCACATTCATCCAATCGCAGCACGCCCATGAGGGCATCCAAAGCGGTGGATTCCTGCTCCTCCCCACCGCCAACATCAATGTGACCAAAAAAATCAAAGGCTTGAGAGATCGGATTAAATGTGCAGGACATCTCCTCAACGTTGAACCCGTCAAACCCAATTGGTGGTACATCCTCCTTTACATCATCTGCTTTGGCTTCCATCACTGCAGGTTCACAGTCGACGTGCGATGTAGCTGGCGAAGCAGAAACCACGGAAGCCGTTAAAGGAAATGTTTGTCCAAGCTGCTTCACGGGCACGGAGTTGCAGCAGAAAACGAGGTTGTGGATTGAGGACAGCGACTCTTCAATGTTGCCTTTTTGGAAAAAAAGAAGAGAAAGGAGGAGGTGTGCAAGGAGACGCAGCTGCATTACGCGTTGTGCGGTCACCTCCTCTCCCTCGCCTTCCCCCACTCCTTGTTCCTCCAATGTGTGTGAGGCCCCCTTTGAATTTATTTGCCAGCGTGTGTGGCAACTGTGACCGTCCAAGACGTTGAGCAGAGCCCGAAGTGCACCCACTGCGTCGTAGAATTGCTCCCCCGTAGCGGCAAAAACTCGAGCGCTGTGCATAGCAACCCGCACCAACGCCTCCCCACGCTCCACCTTCAAGTCCTGAGGAGGTGGTAGTGAAGAAAATGGCGTTTGAAACCCAGGCAAAGTTACTGTGAACTGAGAAACAAACGGTGACGTTGTCTTCTCTTCGTGTGACGTGGCGCCGTCGCTGCGGCCATCGTAATTGCTGCAGGCGCCCATGTGTTTGGCGATCGAAATCGATGGAATAGGCTGCGTGCAGAGTGGCGGGGTGAGGACGCTATCACCCGCAATCATGTTGTTTCCATTTGTGGCGGAGACACGTAAAAGTGGTGTGATGCCAGCAGACTCTTCATCGGAGTTCGAAACGGAGTGGGAATGGTACCCCGTCTGTGTAGGGTGATACAGCGAGGAGGCCGGGCTCTCTTGTGGTTTTGCGTAGTGCCGCGGTGCCGGCGAATGCCAGGTGCCGTTGGCAGTGCTCATCTCAGTGTTAAGACTAGTGTTCGTGTTGTTTGTATGGCTGCTTTGCGAGGAATTCTGTAGATTTGCTTGCGTGACCATCATTCCCCCCTCCTTCCGCTTGAGGTTGTAGTAGCTATCGACCGCCTCCTTCAAGGTGCGGAAGGCAAAGTTTCCGGAGCCAAATATACATGCCGCCTTTGTCGGTGGGTTGGCGTCATGAAAGACGCGGTCCACAATCGCTTGTTTAGCGGCGTTACACTTCAGCCGTAGTGGTGGTTTTCCTGGACCATTTGGAAGCTCCATGCCGCTGCGTTGCAGCATCTTTTCCGCGCCGCGACGGTCGGCAAACTCAACAAAGCCGTATATCCAATTCTGTGCGTTGGTGGAGTTTCCACAAATGCGCACCCGCAGATACTCCCCACACTCCGCGCAGAGCGCGGCCAAATCGCCCTGCAGCATGCCAGTCGGGAGGAAACGCAGATGCACGGTGCGGGCGAGGAGGTCTGTGTCTGCAGCCTCCTCCTCCACAAGCCGCTGCCGCTCCTCCTTCGAAAGCAACTTAAACTCCCGGTGTAGACGTTGCACTGGATTTTCACTGGTGTTCGGCCCGTGGTACGTGAAGGGGTACCGTGCCGCCGCCGCCGCCGCCGCCGCCTCAATGTCCTTCGTCACACTGAAGGGCAATGGCACCCCACTGTTCTCGCCCAAGGGCGTCTGTTTACTCGGCGCTGCGGCAAAGTTTTTCTCCATCGTATGAACCGCCTGCCTTGGCCTTCGCCCCATTGGAAACGGATCTTTTTGCTACTGTTTTGGTCAATTTCTTTTTCCCCCTTCCGTTGTTGCCCTCCTGAGGCCTCGTCGTACCTCGTCGCCGTGAAATTCACCTGTTGGTTGTTGGTTCCCTGCGTGTGTGTGTGTGTGTGTGGCAGATCCCTGTTGCCTCACACGCCTCTCTTCACCACGCAGCCAATCGCACCGAAACGGCACCAACCTCCCCTCTCGGTTCCCTTCCCCCGCCTTTTTTTTCTTTTGTGTCCGTGACAAACGTCGTGCCCTTCTCTTTCCTTGTGCGTGTTAGCCTCCACTGCGGAGTGCTACTCCCTCGCTTCTTTTAGTTTGCCTCCTTCGCTTCACTCTCCGGCCCCGCCTGCTTCTACAGCGTCTATTTTTGTTTGCTTTTTTTATATCCTCCTTTCTGAGATGTGTGCTTTATTTTACTTTTTTCTCAGTTTTTTTTTCCTTTCTTTAGTATTTGTGTATATTTTTGGAGTGTGATATATTGTTGTTTGTTTATGCCTTTGTTTCTTCTGACTTCGTTGCTTCCGGAACGCTGAGCCTGTGGCCTGGCGCCCACAAGAGAGAGAAAAGGAGAAGAAGAGAAGGAAAGGCAGTATAGGAGGAAAAGGAAAAGGCGGTGCAACAAGAGGGAGAAAGCAGAAGACAAAAGGAATGTGGTGTGACGCCGCCCTAGCGCAGTCACAATGACACTGCTTCCCTAAGGCGAAATGCGTAAAACTACTTTGGTGACGGGTTCCTTCTCTTCTCTGGTTTTCCCCTTTCGCCTCCTCTCGTACCGCAACATTTCGGTGCCTCTCTCCGCTCCTGAGGCGTTACGTGCGTTGGGGAAATCCCCGCAGCGTTGCAGGGCCGCATGGAAGCGTAGGCGTTTGTGTGCGTACGCGTAAAGAGAGGCGGGATCCGCGCAGGCAGTTCATACAAACCCGCCTCCGCACGTCACAACGGTGAGGCCAGCACGCACAAGACACACAGTGGTGGGGAAACTGCAACAAAACAAGACACGCCCACCGCACGCCGAGGGAGTAAGAGAAAAAAAAAAAAAACAGAAAGGCAGCACATACGTAGGCGTTAGGCACAAACGAAAAAAAACCCTAAGAGAAGAAAAAAAAAGGAACCCTTCACAGTCCAATGCATGAATATATGTATGTGTATACGTACACAATGGTGGGTCTATCCCTTAACTGCGTATGATTACTGCAAGGGTGTTGTAGTTTACCCGCATCACTAGCCCAGATGTATGTATTTACACATAATTTCACCAAACATATGGCACGGGTCAAGGGGCACCTATCCAAAAACATTCCTTCTGTCTATTCTCGCTCTCCCTGTGTGTGTGTTTCTACATCCCTCTCTCTCCCTATCTTCTTCCTGCACTAATAGCTTATTCATATATCTCAACACACTGCTTGCTATTTGTTCTCGCGCAAGCTCCACCCGCCAAGACTCTATCCCCTCTTCACGATTCTGACGGCTAGTGCCCGCTCGCATGCTCGCCCCCAGCCTGCGTGGGTGTACTCATCACACACACACACACGCACACATACATTAGCGACCACTCAACGCCGGGTACGACATGCGCGGCGGCTTGCATGAAGAGTCCGGGGCAGCGCGTAATCGCCCCCATAAAACAAAATGAGGGAGTCATTAAAAACGCAAAAAAAAAAGTGTAGAACACTTTTTTTAAAAAAATTATTATCATTTTTTCTTTTTTTTTTTTTTTCATCCTCGCTATTGGTGGAGATTCATGTGGGGGTGTACCACTTGCATAATGAGGACGTGATCATTCCTTTTCTCCATGCTTCTGGAAACACAAGCAGCAGTGGAGGGTCGTGCAAAGCGAGCCAACTGATAATTCGGGTTCCATACACCAAACAGAAAAAAAAGCACGCCCGATTTGATTGAAAATGTGCAAGGAGAAGGGAAAAGGCTGGCGTTCCACACTATTTCTATGCGACCACGCCCCCTCCTCCCTTACATCTCCCGCTCTCTCTCTCTCTGTGGGTAGGAGGGGAGGCTGCCCTTTTCCTCGTCCTTTTTTTCGCTGGAGACGGAGGGGACTACTGCGTTCTACGCCGCCTCGCTCGTGTTGCCTTAATGCCGCTCCCCCTCCTTGCTGGCAGTGTTCGTAATTCACGCGCAGACTCTAGCGACTTCCCTCACTTGTGCCGTTCTTCGCATGGATGCGCCTTTCCCTCCGCTCAGGAGCAGCGTGGTTGAGTGTGCGTCTGCGAAAGAAAAGTGAAGTGAGCGCCCCACAAGTCCGCAACCCCCACACCGCAGTGAAGGATGAAAAGAGAGCCACCACAACATCAACAGCAACTGCAAAAACACCCCACCCCACAGAACACAAACACAAACACAAACAAAAAAAAACGGATATCACGCACGTGTGTTAGGCAAAGTTGGGTGTCAATGGCGCAGAGGTGCCGCCACAAGTTATATCACGCGTGTTCGGTGGTTTCAGTCGGGTCACTGCACCGGTGGCTGTGGATCTTTGAAGTGGCATCTAACGCCGGCTTTGGCCTCCTCCTAAGGCACTCGCCATATTAACGCCGCAGGCCGCTCTCGACCCACCTTCAGCTCGCCAACAGTCTATGAGTAACGCTCCACCTGTGCCTCCGGCGCCGTCAGGCCACTCTCATGCTGCTACCCAGAAACGACCTCACCGCTGCCCCGTCGCATCGCTGTCATCGACCGACAGCGACGACAGTTGTTTTGACCACCTCGAACGGCGCCACTCCCAAGCCTCGTTGGACTAACGAGAGACTCTCTCCAACCCCCAACGCGCGCTTCAGAGCTTACTGCAACAACACCATTCTTGACACGCGTAAGCCCTGCAGATATGCGGTGGCCAGGCGGGCACGACGCGTTCTGTCTCTGTGGCCGATGCGCCGGCGCCCCTACAGTAGTACCTACTTTATAAGGGCGCAAAAGCGCATCCCTCCTTCTGAGAGAATTTATCTCATGTAACGCAAGCTTTGGTGCTACACCCTCCTGCTGATCATTTTCCATGCGTTTTGCGTGTAGCTCAGCTGTAGCCAGTCGCGGGGCAGAGGCAAGGACAGTGTGAGAATATCTCTGCCTCGCCCCTTGGGCCATCTCACATCGGCCCTGCAACTCCTTCAAAAAAGCGCGTGATCGTGCATGAAAATGGCCGCCACTGGCAGAAGCGTGTATTCCTTTCAAGGCCAACGGTCCGGCATCCCGTGCAAAGCTGTGATGCCGTCTGTCAGATGTAGCCGCACGGTGCACGTTCGGCGCACTCCCACTGCCCTCCAGCAAGGTTCTGGTTGGTGGCGGCGAGGTATCTCGTTGCCGCAGAAACTTTGTGAGATGCTGACGTGGCGACCCCTTCAGTTTCTCAGACGTTTGTCTCACCTGCCTTGACTGGTACTCCTCCTCCGCCTCATCCGCGGGAAGAGGCTCGGTATCCACTGCAGCTGGACGGCGAAGCAGCACAGGCGGATGGACAACAAGAGGAGCCTTGCCCTGCCCAAGCGGCATCAGTATCGCACCCTCTACACCTCCGTCCTTCTTAGACGCCTTACCCTCCGCGCGTTCCGTCACTTCGCGTGGAAGTGGCTTCTGCTTCCCCTTGTCGTCCGGTGTGCGCACACGGCAGCTGCTCTCTAGGCTGTACACGTGCATCACATACTCCGCCGATGTGAGGAAGGTCTGACTGCAGCCAGCACAGGGGAATAGGTTGCCTTGGCATACACCCAGCAAGTGCGCTCGCATATCAAGCAGGGAGATGGCGACCCCGCACCCAACACATGGCGTTGGTGCGTCTCGCATACTGCAAACGTACGCAAGATGTGCGTTCAGCTTTGCCGCCTCGACCGCCGCTCCACATTCCGGGCAGCTCAACATTTCTTGGCCGCAGCGCATGATGTGCGCCGCGGGGCCCAGGCGACGGCAGTAGGGGCATACTCGAATGGACGTGGGCAGCTGCAATTTTTTGGCCACAGGCGTCTCCTTTGAGGGATCCGAAGACTCCCCGCCGGTAGTCCCGCTGGCTACGGTGTCCGAGAGAAACTTTTGCATGCCGCTTCCGCCTCCCCGCACCGCCAACAACCCCGCCCTTCACTCAAGACACACAAACACACACGGACAGATAATAACAAACCTGCACGTGAGGGGAGGCAACGACAGGGGGAGGAGGCGTCCAAGAAGTTGTGGTGAGAAAAACAGAGCAAAAACAATAGAGGCAAAATAAATACATACGTCGCGCCTCCAAAGCCACACATCGAGTCACAGACGTGGCAGCCTCCGTGGGACGGCGCAAGAAGACGCGGAGTGGCAGGGAAGCTCAAGGGAAAGAGAAGCACAAAACGCTAATAAAATACAAAATACGCCAAGACAACATGCGAGCCCCTTTCACTCCGCAGCCAAAACATCAAACCTAAAAAGTCACGTGAGTCCTCAGCGTGGCAAGCAGCACGCACATGGTCGTGTCATCAGCGGCAATCACACGGCCCACCCGCCGCCGCCGAGTGGCAAAGCGTAAAAGAGCCACCAAAAGCAAAAACGAAAGGAAAAAAAAACAGACACGCATTTCCTTCTGACTACGTACACCCAGAAAAATGTAACCACAACGAATGGCACACAAGGGAAAACGCGTACATACTTACCTGGGGGACCAGACAAAGATCATTGTAAGCCGGAAAGAAAGAAAAAAAAAAGTGGGACTTCTCCGTTCAGTGAGAAACATACAACGGAAGCACGTGAATAAAGGTGATAGCTGCTCCAGCGACAACTTGCCTGTGCTTTGGCAAAACCTCGAAAGAAACGACAAACGTGCTGTGCTATTCAAGCAATTCCTCTTCTCCCTTGTCTTCTGTATTTCTATCCTTTTCTTCCGCTCATTTCTCACTCCCTCACTGATTGAGATGGGCATCTGAGAACCCAGCACTCTTGCATGCGGCGCATTGCGCCAGTGACGTGGATTTGTTTCACTGCCTGATTCGTGGCGGTGTGCTCGCCTTTGAGCAAAGCAATTTGTGGGGCTCGGCCGAGGGGCTCATTATCCACTCCTCGTGATTCCTCCACAAGTGCCGCAGCGTCGTCTGCACGACATCTCAGCGGCAGAAAACCAAAGCGGTATAGCGTGTACGAGAGAGAGTAGCACCTTGAGAACAGGCAGGCGAGTTCGTCACCCTCTTCAATATCTTCCACACCACGAACGACTGCGCATTTTATGCCGCACCCCGCCGTCTCCTCTTTGTCGTCCGCCTCCTCGACAGTTGCGGCGGGAAGGAACTCCACAGTCACCTCAGTGTTGGCCATCCCACCCGGGGATACTGCAGCATGTCCAGCACTGGCACCACCGACGCGATGGCGCGGGGATCAAAGTCGTTCGCCACGGCTCGTTTGTGCTCCACTACGCCAAAGACGCGGTCCAAAAGTGTCCACCGCACGTTGTTGACAAGGTGTGCCCATGCATCCTCCTCTGCTTGCATCCGTTTGCGCTCCGTACACACACGCTCAAACGGTTCCACGTTATGTCGTAGGGGAAGAAGGCGCTGACGTGACAAGACAAGACGACAGGCCCACGTCCAATCCTCCATGGAAGGTGGCGATTGTCGATGTGTGACCTCCTCCTCGTGCGAGGGCGTTGTTGGGTTTTCGAAGCACCTTTTTTTATCAGGGGATGCAGTTGCAAGGAACAAGCCGCACGATGTCTCAATCATTCGCACCACCTCGTACTCATCCAACCACTTCCGACGAATCTGCCGCAAGCAGTGCGAGAAACGCCCACCGTGGTCGCTGTACTCGAGGTGCGTCTGCGAATCCAAGACACCACGGTGTATCTCACGAATAAATTCATCATCAAATGGGGCAAGGAGTCGCAGATACGGGTAGAGTGGGCTGCGCTTTTCATCAGCCCTCTCGAAGGCGAGACGGAGCGCGGAGTACACCTGGTCCACAAACAACGGGTGCGGTTCAGGATCAAACGAGGTCTTTAGTACGCTCATAATGGATTCTACCGTAGTATAGGAGGGAACCCCGCGGCGTTGTGCCGCCAACGAATGGCGTTGCAGGGCCTCGGAATTGAGGACAAGGACCCAGGCGCTCGTCACATTTTCAGTGGATGCCTCTGTAAGAGGAATTGTTAAAATCATATCACCAGCTTTAAATGATTTGCGTGCAATCAAGCCACGGGTGTATTGTGCTCGCAGATAAAAATCAACGTTATCATCAAGACGTTGCAGAAACAGAGCCTGTGTGCGAGTAGTACATAGCCGTCGCAACCAGGCAAGGAATTCCTCGACCTG